TTGTCTTAGTCTTCGCAATGACTCCCAATTTATCAGAGGACAGTGATGCCTTCCGACTCTTCTGTTGAGAGGGAAATGAGAAATAACAGCTATCATAATTATAGTTAAAAAGCCAAGTGTGAGTATAAAAGTTAATATACAAAGGCAGCTTCATAAAATAATTGATTCCTCCCTTTATTCAAGATTCTAAGACCCTAAAACAACATCCAAAACACAACTGTTGTTCAATTACTTTATTTAGCTTTATGTGCGTTTGTCAGCTCACAATCCAACTTGTGATAACAGCTCTGCTGTTATACTGGTACTGTTATTTTATTTTTGTCAACGGTACATTGTAACGGGACAGTCAATGTCTGCTTTTGCTCTATCAGAATTAACACAATCTCTCCAGCATAAAATTTTTCACAAAGGTAAAAGGTGACCTGTCAATCTGCAACAGGAGCAAATTTTGACTTTGCACACATTGAGTGTTCCAATTTGAACAGCTTGATTTGATATTTTTCTGCAAAAGTATATAAGGATTTGAACTACTGTTGGATTGACATTACAAATTACTGAAATCTGAAGACCGTAAGTTTAATTTAAAGCACTCAGAAAAGAAGAGTGCAGGTAAAAGGAACACAACATTTATTCATCAGTTAGCAAGGACACTCCCAGAACCTTTGAAAAAAATTTTTAGGTATTTAATATTAGGTACCATTAGTTACTCAAAGTATGCATGTTTCCTGAGCAATGCATCAATTAAAAACCACCATCCTTGTTAAAAACTTAATAAGGAGTGCTTCTACAACTTCCAAATGAAACCTGATTTTCAGAGATCTGAGTATTTCATTGCACAGCTTCAGCGCACTGGTATAACTTGGCAAATGAAAGTTGTAACACTTGACTTCTATATTTCTCGTATCATGTGGTCTTACTCTAATATTAGCAACTCTGAAATCTTCTATCCCATTAATTTAAGAGGAAAATTTCACACTGATTTTTTTGGGGAGTGCTCTTCCACTAAAACAGCTCTCTGACCTGGATAATACCCCCCCCTCCGATCACGTGGTTCCATTTCCTCTGCGGAGCAGGAAGATACTCACTAGCTTTCCTATGGCAAAGCGGGCAGCGACCTCTGTACGTATTTACCTACAGACCTAGCGGCTGTCTCCTGACCACCCAACAGGTTGCAAATCAGACTGCTGCTCCATTCTAAGACATTCCTCCCAGCTCACCAAGGAACATTTCACGTCTTACAAACCACCAAGTGCCATTATACTTTCAGAACTTTCTTGCCGCTATCAATCTTAAAATTCACACATGCACACACACGTTCAAAAATGACTTTAAGATTATTAAGTTTGAGTATTCGTAAGTTAAAAACATGTCAGAACTAAGACTGTGAAATCCGAATTCACTCCCTTAATATGCAATAATACAGGCTTTACTTACAAGATTGCCTAGCATATTTACCCAAGATCAACACTGAATTTTTTTTTAATTAACATGTATACACACTCTTTAACAAAGAAAAAGAAAGTTACCTTGGATATAAGCAATCACCTTATATTTGAGGGGGTTTAATTCCTCTTCCAACATAGACAAAAAGTACAGATTGTTCCCTATTCTGCCATATATAAAACAAAGCTTTGGCCTTTCAGCAGCAGGGACCCAACATTTATAGCTGCTGTTGACATCACGTGAGTAGTGACAGCACAGTGAACAAGTACCTTCTCCCCACCTCTACGTCCTCCTCTCCCCATACCCCAAATCTTCCATTTCCCCTGGGTAGCTGGCACACCTACATATACCCTGGCACTTACAGAGCAACGACGCCTCGCATACACAGGTAACGGTGGCAGCTGTAAGCCCTACATCTCTGTGGCCCTAAATACAGCCTGAGACACAAACACAAGATGATGTATATTGGAGTGTAGTTTTTCTAAAAAAAAATACTTGCTTTTCATGTGGCCCCAGGCGATATTTTTTCTTATAGCCTGGGACTTTTATCCTGACTCACTAGTCTCCAGATCTTCCCAATTTTACTCTCCTGACGTTGTCCTTCCTTTGCTCCCCGCCCAGCAACTTACAGGCTCTTCCCACAGCCAAACTATCAGTTAACTGAGAAGATAACAGTGGCATTCCCTTTCTCATTAGCTATTTGGGAAATCTGAGTAAGTGATGTCTTTTTTACTTCACTGGTCCTTACTTTATGATATGCAGAGTGGTCTTCCGTAGACGGAGCATCTGGGGAGCTGTAATGGAACTGCACAAAGCAGTCAGCATAGGATGCTGTCCGGCTCCAAGCGCAGTCGGAGAAGAAGGGAGAAATCGTCCGAAATACTGTTGAATAATGCTCCCAAGCAGTTGATTTAAATAGGCACCCTGTGTTTGAGACTGACAACATATAAAGGACAGGCCCTGTAGAAGAAAATTTTAGAAAGGGAGAAATTGAATAAAGTTTTAACAAGACTTTTGAACAAATCTTTAATGACCGTAGACTAAATACTCACTACACGCTGTGTAAACTGCTGCACACAGAGTAACTACTGCATGACAAATAGGCATCAGTGATTTGCTGCAGATGTTATGGTCTACAAATGAAGACAGAGCCAGGGCAAGGCTTGCAAAGGAGAGAAAAATCTTTTACCAGACTAATTAATATATTGGAAGATAAGCTTTAGGACTCACAAGCTCCCTTTCACATTTAAAATAAAACCTTGGCATTTCAGACCTGAGAAAGTGTTTCTGTACCCAAGAGCTCCTCATTTCTTTTTCAACTCTGTATGTGGTCTAACAAAGTATATTAGTCAGGTAAGATTTATGAAGGGAGAGAGAGAATACCTCATCTCTTTGTAAAGCATCTTGTGAAATTTTTGTAGGAACGATATAGCAAAAAAATGAGCACTTAGAATCGTAGTCTGACAAGAAAAATTTTGCTTATAGGGTGAACAAATTAGGGTAAATTAGACACCATTTATAAAGGATTTAGGGAGTGTTTTTAAATCTGTTTAAGATAAGGCTAAAACTACTGTGATTTATCCAGTATAAGCTATATTGATCCAGAGAAAAAAAAATCTATCATGAAAGTACTTGCCCAGAAAGTGCCTATCTGAACACAACGTATAGTTACTCAACATATACATGGCACATCTCTGAAAAAAAGAGTATTCTTCTTACTGGTACAAGTTGCTGTGAGAGAAGGTTAAGAGTTTCCTTCCCTTTCCTTTGATACTGAAAGAAAGAAGAACAAATCACTAAGGAAAAAAAAAAAGTCCACTGATCTCCTATCACAAGGGTCACAGTCAGCAGCACAAACAGAAGCCTCTTGAGAATTCACAGTTTTCACAACAGGTTTTGTCCAAGAATAATGGTGTAAAAGAAGCTGAAGCACAGAGTTCCCTAGACAGCAACTTCAACACTACTTCAAACTTCCACTAGCATTGCAATCCAGACTCCAGTTTTGGTAGGAGGAGTATCTGCCTGAATATTGATGGTTGCTGAGGTAAGCTAATGCCCCTAATCTCTGAATGAACAGCTCAAGACAAGCTGCACTTGTTCCCCAGCTGCTGACAAAGAGCATTTCTGTTGCTTTTCCCATAGGAGTCCCTCCCCGAAAAGATTTTCATCTATACCTGTCTGTGTGAACAAGACAGAACAATTCTTTCAGAAAAAAAGCAGGCTGAAACATGGATGAGGGTTGTCTTGGCACTTTCTTGAAATGGGGAGCTCCCACTTCTGGTTCCACAGTAAACAAATACAAGAAACACAAGATTTCGGGAAATGAGGTGTTTCAGGACCTGCCTGAAGACTTGCTGTAGGTGGCCCTCTTGAACCCAGACACGTTCGGTTAGAGTTCAGCCTCAGATGCTTCTGGAGCTCCTTGGTAATTTTGGTAAGTGCCAATGATAAAACCCACGCTTCTTGAACTGGGGCTTTGATAAACAGTTCAGATTCTCTCCACCTTTTGTGTACATACAGCAAAGTTCTGTAGGAAAAAGCAGCTGCTGCTCTATCAGAATTCTTAGAAACACTGCTTGGCAAGTAGCGGACTCAGAGACTGTTAGAGCTGACAGATTATTTAGTATGTAAGCTGGAGTGTTTGCTGTTGTCAATAAAATGTTGCAGCAGGCATAAAGAAGAGTTGCCCGTGCTTTCTGTAGTACAGCTCTTACAAAAAGACAAAAAATATTCCATAATCCCAAAATCAGAATTGGCACTCTTAAGACTTTAGACTGTTTTAACACTACCAAAAAAAAAATAATCTGTGAATCTGTGAGAAAGTGTATTAATCTATGTGGTAAAAAGGACACAAAGAACATCACAGCCTTACAGAGGACACCTGTAGGAATACATGAAGAACATAACACCTGTGAAGAACTAACAATGATAATTACTAAAATGAGATAGTTCTTCCAATTGCGGATCAACGAATGCTACATAGCATCAAGAAAAGAAGGAAGAAATCAGTTATTAAATAATAAGAGTTAATGTTTTTAAGAAATGATCCTAACAATACTTAATAGGTGCAATAAAAAGCAAAGAATATTAGAATTTAGATATCTGAAGGAACACTGACTAATTTTTGCACATCTTCTAATAATTTCATTTGAAGATGGATCAACAAGCTTAGCCTGATCATTCATAAAAGCATTTGAGTTGAAGTAAACTGATTCTAATTTTTTGGGGTGTGGGATGGGGAGATATGTAATCTGAAAAAGAAGGAAAGGATTAAATAAAAAACCCAACACCCTGTCAAGAGCATTACTGAAAGATACTTTTCTTGACTGGAGAAGGGAAAAAAATGACATAAGGTAACTACTGATTTTTTTCTTTAGTTATCTGACAGGGACAGAGAGAGCTCTTGAAACTCTGTAAGGAAAGCTGTTAACTTGAGCATTAAAAAAACACCGAAAATGCCTTTTTTCTGTAACCAAAATTCTCTCTTCAATAAGAAGGATCCTCATCATTTTTCCTAATGAAAATTACAAGATTAGCATTGACGGCTTATAAGGTACAAATTCTTTTTTCCAGTGAGACAACAGTGAGAAAAATCACCTTCCATTTTGTTGGGAGCTAGAAAAACACCTCCAAACAAACAAAAATCCCCCTTCTCTTCTCAATAGCAGAAAAATCCATGAATCGGTCCTCCCACAGGAAGGGCACATCGACTGCATGAAAGCTCTCCAGAGAAGAATTGTCACACCTCTGACCCTGACGCTTCCCGTGTTCCCTAAGAGCTTCCGGAAAAGAACTTAAATTTCTCTTTTGGACATGAAGGTCCATTGACTTTAGCTCAACACTGTGTTCTTTATTTTGGATGACTCTTCTTTTCTTACAAAGTGCAGAGAGCAACAGACCTGCACCAGGTCTGACAACCCCATATCCCAAGCAGCACAAGGGATAAAATTGCCAACGCTGCACTGTAGCTGCAAATCTCCGAGTACAACGGCCAAACATCCTAGGCAGCACTGGCCAAGGATGTGATTACAAGGAAAATCACATGGAACTTTCTTCTTTTAAATCCCACCAGTAATTAAGAGAGATGAAGGAAGTTACTGTTATATGAGAGAGAAAAGAAACACATGCTAGTGGACCACAATTCTGGACCAGAGATCTGAAATCAATCACATCAGACCCCCAGGACAATCCCTACAAGGCAGACGGACTTTAAAGGGTTGATAGAGCTGCTCTCTTTTTCTTAACTATGTTCTTTAGCCATCTTCTGAGGTTAAAAAAAGAAACCCAAAACAAAACCAAACAAAAAAACAAAGACATTTTAAGGGGAGCAGAGGGGCATGACAACATCTGCTCCTCATTTTAGCAGAAAGGCAACCGATCCCTGTGTGTGTTCACTGCAGGAACCTTTTGTGGCCAGAGCTGCCTCTTTCTTCTGATTTATCCCTGTATCTGTAAGTCACCTGTGGAGAGCGAAGAACCGATTAGTATGGATTACTGGAACTATTCACTGAAGAAATGCCAAGCTATCTAATGATGACTTATAATATCAGGCCTGCTGTTGGAATAAATCTGCTGTTCACCAATTAATGTACAATTCCTATTAAACCCATACTATAATTCACAAAATGTATTAATAAGCTTGCTCAAACATCGGACCACAGATGTGGCTCACAGGAGGGCTTTTAAGGTCTGATCTCTGACAAATGCTGAGCCTGCACAGACCCATTAAAATCACTGGAAAATGTATGTGCCAAGCACTATTTAGAATTAGCTCTTTCACCACTCTCCTGTATTTATATAGGAATCAACCATCTTCTGTATTTGGACAGGATTAACGCAGATAAATCAAGCAGGGTATCTCACCTTTCCCATCATGATATATATTATGCTTATTCATGCACCCACACTGTATTCTGCAAGATATATTTAAGCTACTATTTCTTCTCTAAAATAAGTTCTGTACACTGCTTCAGTTTTCCCATATCACTGGTAAATGTGTACTAAAATTCATCCAAATCATTCTCCAAGAAATCCATCCAAGAGCAATCTGAATCTGAAATTTCCCATGGTAGGCTTCAGCAATCCACTATCACACAAATCAACTCAACTTCTTTTTACAGTGGCAAGATACCCAATGTTAGATTTTTACATGCCTCACTAGCTCATAATTAAGAACAGTCCCATAAAATTATAAAACGGCTGTTCATTCCTGTTCTTCGTGCTTTACTTTCTGAAGTCTGTCATTCAGACAACTCTGAGGACAATTTAGATATTATATCCCAATCAGATCTTTCTTAGGTCACCAAATATTATCAAAACAGACGATGCACAGTGAAAGAAATAATATCCAGACAGTAACCCTTTAGGTGAGAAAAAACCAAACCTAGTTCAAAAGTTGCTAGAGCTAAGCTCTTTTGACAAGGCAGCATCAGTGACCGAGTTTGAAGGAAATGTTTAGATAAGCTCAATGTACAGTGGAGAACAGAGCAGTTGCCCAATAACTGTCAAAAAGCACAGCTGTACAGCCCAATGTATATATACAGTAAACACAAACATAACTACTAAATACAGTCAGTCTGAATTGAGGAGACAGAAATGCAACATCTAGTCTTAATTAGCACATTTGACAATTATCTGTGCTTGTGTAAAATTAAACAAAGCCTGTACTTTAGATCTATTAAAAATAAACCTATTGGTTTTGGGGTGGCAAAGGGGGGTGAGATACAGTCATCAGTTTTGGTGAAGTGTGAAGGCAGTAATAACCTATGCTGTGGGGAGAGAAGGAGCTTCGTATGTTGATGAAAAATTGGCCTCTGCCATTATTGGGTGACGAACAAAGGCGATGCCCTCGCTGAGTACAGCACCGTGACAACAACATTGTCCTCATTTTTAAGCCTGCAGCCCAAGTTGTGTGGCCAGTTGCATTACCATTACACAGGGTATGTGACCACTTGGGGAATCTTTTTCTATACAATTCAGGAATTCTATAGGATTTCATAAGATTGCTGCATCAATGAATGTGTGAAATTAATTACCTGCTACTGAAACTGATTTCAAATCCTTTCAAAACCCACACAAAAGGATCAAATAAACCACATTAAGATTAGTTGTTAAAAGCTCTGGAAAGAGGGAAGTTTTGCAAACCATTGCTTGCAAAACTAAGATGTTTTCTGAGATCTAAGGAAGTTTTTTTGGACAAAGGAGGAGCAGCCCACACTGAAGGAGCTGAACAAGGAGAATTCAGGACAAGAAAAGAAGAAAAGATTGAGATGGAGCCTGGAACTTTTCAGAAGACTGGAAAGGAAAAAAAAAAAGAATTGAAAAGACCTCTGAGTAGAAATGCTACTCAAGGGCTTTTATGCTTTGACTATGAATAAAGAATTTGCATGTATAAGAAGATATTTTGCATGGTCTCCAAATTCCTGTTTCTTTATTTTCACCTAACTGCCAAAGGATTAAGTTGTAAGCTAGAGTATTAACGAGGACAGATTTATAGAACAATGTTTGTCTAACATTAGGGTGAGTTAAGGCTCCTGCACTAAAATACCACTGCTCCACCTCCACAAATGGGCACAGACCTAGGGCAGCCACCCAAGGAGAGTGTGATCACACATTTCACCAGCAGTTTAAGTTAGTCAAGGTGGGCTTATTCCCAGAGGATTCTGCTTCTCTGTCTTTTCTCCCAACACATTTCCATGCTTTCCCTCCCACATATGCTATTTTATCACTTTTCTGATACGCCCATTTGGGTTTTTATTTTTTGTTTGTTTGTTTGTTTTGTGGGGCTATTTACTCGTTGAATCAGCTCACAAATTGCTATTCACAGAATCATTAAAGCAAATTAAATGGGAATACACATGGGGGTGAAAGGGAATGAATTTAGCCTTAAGCCAACTTGGCTTAAACCAACTGTGAAACGATAACCTGAGAAGTCAAAGAGTGCCTAGAATCCATTCCATCTCAAAGGAGTTCAGAAGCAGTCCTAGAAGAATTTTTTTTGGTAAACCTCATACTGCAATATTTTCATTTTGAGTTGATTCTAAATTGGAATTTTTTCCACTTCCCCAAATAAAGGTGAAGAAAGTATTTTGGAATGAATGAAGCATTTCAAAGCACTTAAAAACACTGGAACTTTGTAAATACAAACAATTAATAAAATGTAGAAGTTCCATATTGAAACACGAAAAAGAAGTCTTCTTCGCTTTGTCTTCTCTCCCCAAAAGTGTTCGTCAACTTAAAGAATTACTTGTTTTCTAGAAGCAGCATTTGTCTAAAATAAACTATTTGGTCAATAAGATCATCTAGCTTAGCCAGAAAGCACATGGACTACGCAGCAGGCTGCTGAAGAGTACGATAGTGAGGTCAGGAAGTCAAAGACTGACAAAGAAAACAGGAAACAAGGGTCCACAACACTTGGACTTCAAAACCAACTTGAGTGGCTTCATCTTAAAACTACATCCGTATCTGCAGGCTACAGAGAAACACTGCTCTCCGACTAAAATACTAAATCAGCAAGCAGACACACTCACTCTGCGGTAATACCAGTGTCCAGATGGTCCTACATGTATATAGCTTCTGAAAATACCTACAGAGCGGCAAAACAAGTCATATTCTGCACATCGTTATATAATCACATTCACTTCCATATGACATGCCATCGATCACAACTCAACTTTTGAAACGAATAAATCCGAGGGATGTTCACAATGTCACCGCTGCATTGTTTCACAACACAATCCTGTGAAGTAATCAGTTAAGACTGCAATCAAAGTGAAGAATAAGACGGAAGGGAAAATAGTAAGCCAAAACCACGTCAACTTATTTATTTTAAAAACATATTATTTTCTCTTCCTCACTGGCAGGATTTAGTCTCTTTCTACAGCATCAACAGGCCTTACAGAGTTTCAAGAGTGGTAGGTAACCTGAGGGAAGAACAGGAGGAATAACAGGCAAGAAGGCTTTAGTCATGTAAGCGTAAGCAGCAAGAACTAGATTCAGTAAAACGTTCTCAAACTATTAAGATAAAACAGCGCCATGATACGCAGAGGATTGTCTTTTGTTCTTAAGAATAATGAAAAAAAGAGTTGCTCATCTTAAATTATCTAGTTAGTCAAGTCAAGGATGATTTAAAATATTTGCTCTGTCATCTCAACAAGTGTCTTGCTGCATATTATGATTATTTGATCCACCGTTTCAGAAATCTCTCACATCAGAGACCGGTGCAAACAGCAGGATGGCTAAAAGCTTCTCTGTATACAGCGATTAGACTAGCAGCTCTGGAGCATACCACAGCACAGCTGCATGCAAGGAGAGCAAACCCAATGGGGTGGTATTTTTCTTTATGCTTCCACGTGAAGAAAAAAAAAAACCACCTCCTCTTGCTGCTTCTTTAAGTTCAGCCAACACTTGTTTTGATTAGGGGAAAATGAAAACATTCTCTGCAATATGAATCTTTTCCTGAAGATACATTTGTCTGCTGACAATAAGGCTCAGCTAACTTACCTGAAGATAAAGAGGTAGGCTTTCCTGAATGGCAGACAGCAAAGCCCCAGGCAGCTCTTTGTCCTGCTGGAGCACAGAGTGCGGCAGCAATAAGCAATCCACGATGCGGAACAAGAGTTGTTGCGCTTTGGAAGTAGCCAGTATCAGTGCCCAGAACTTTACCACACATCCTGTTGGGGAAAAAAGAAAAAATTAAAAAAAAAATCAAGAAATCCCAAAGCAATTTACAGTTAGAGAAAAAAAAAAATTAGGAAAGCCTAAAGAGGCAATTATGTTAAATTAGATAATCCAAGAGTAGCAATAGCAACTGAAATGTCTCACTCCCATGCACTCATTCCATGGCACCCCCTTAGAAAAAGCCCAGTCGAGACGATTTAAAGTCCATTTACAGTTCAGCAAAATGAAAGTACTAAATTGATTCAATACATTACAATTACAACTTTTCAGGCAACTGAAGCTGCTTTAGGAAAAGTACAGTAATGGTAACGAAAGCACAGTGTCTCACATCCCTGCAGAAAAATTAACTAAGCTTGATACATAACACTACTGCAATCAGCGCACGATTGCAATCAGCACACATGCACTTAAACATTTACCTTACTGTGTGCATTCATCACGTTTTACAGAGAGACACTGCCTTTGCCCTCCCTTCACATTTCTCTAACACCACTGCAGCCGCATCAGCAGCTACTCACACAGCAACTCAACGTCAGGAAAACATTAAAGATCTTTCAAATTGTACTTAATGCATCTAATTCAGCAGATTAAAAAGAATGAGGGGCAGCCAACTCCATTAAGTTGCCATGGTCTCTCCAGATCTTTGTGGGTTCTCAGTTCACAGAATGAGAGCCTCAGAAAACATCTTTCTTGTTTTCAACACGTTAATGTATCACTTGCGCTGCTTTGAGCCAGTTTTAAGATCTTCCTTTTGAGTTGCAAAAAAAAAAAAAGTGAAAAGGTGTTGATGTGTAAATACCCTAACTTTGAGAAAGATCTTTATTGCAGGTGAGGTGTCATTTTTCTTGAGAAAATAACTCTATACTTGTGAGTGTTAATACTCAAAAATACAGATTAAATAAGACAAGGTTCCTGTGTAATAGTTCCCACAGACATTCTTAATTTGGTATTTAATTAGAAGCAAGAAAAAGTTTGCTGGGTTGAAAATACAGGAATATCCCAAGAAAATATGTTTAAGACTTTGAAAATAATGAAAGCTCAAAAGTAGGCTGTTACAAGATATTATTAACCTATAAAAGTCATTCATTACCATCTCTAAAAACAACGCAAAACAACATTAATCTTGTGGAGTGAAAGAAAACACAATGATCAATCATAGAGAAAGAGAACGATGACTTAACAATACTTGTAATACTATTCTCTAAGCTTCCCACTTTGAAAGAAACACGCTTATTCCAGCTAAAAGTACTCCTTCCATTATCGCTGCTGTGGTGTATGGGACAGTAGAAGACACAATCTGACCACAGACAGAAGCTGTTCAGAGTTGTTCATTTTCTTGCTTTCTCCTTATAATTTAACAAGCCCACAGAATGTGAAGAAGTGATTGAAATACACTTTTTTTTTCTTTTAAACCTTCTTTATGTTTTCTTAACTAAAAAGAAAGGACAACTCCTTGCACAGAACAGCATGACTGAAGATTAATCGCTCCTACTGCAAAGAACAGAAAGGAAAATACCAATCTAAAATTACTTTACAAGGGTCCAACCCAACATCTGGATATCTAAAAACATTTAATTTGACATATGTCTTGTATATCAAAATATACAGATCTTGCAATACAAAATTAAAGTGTTTTACAAAACTCAAATTCCATTACATTCGCTGCATCTTCTGCATCTTGGTGATGCTTCTCACTGTACTCCTTATAATGATGATGCACACTGCGTGTACAAGCACATCGTTACCTCTGACTTTAAGATACATAAGGTTTGCCCTGTTTTTAAAAGCAAGTGGGTCAGACTGGCCCATTCATTCATAATAAACAGCTCTCTTATTTGTCCATCCTATCAGTGGTTCCACACTTTAATTAACAAATACTAGCATTCTAGAATTTGCGCTTTAATAAAGCACAGGTTATATGTAAGAGAAACAGTTCCAAAAGGAAGCAAATTACATTCCTAAGCCAACCTGTCCGCTATCGTAACTCCAGTAAATATGATGTAGCCTGTCATAACACTGCTTCGCTGCCTTTCCTTGTTTCTGGTTTTGTTTAGGTACAACAGGTGGGTTTCAGTAGTAAGAGACATGAAGACATCTTTCTTTTGAAAATACTGATTTGCAGGGGTAATTTAAAACAAAACAAAACCCAAAACCCAACAAAACACCCCCAAGGAGGTTAGACATCAGGATAAAAACCAAAGAAAATCAGCAGAAGAAAATTAAGTATCTAACTGTAACATCTTGGTGACTTTGCTTTTTTAAACCATTAAGATAGACAGTACAGAGGAAAAAGAAGGTATTAAAACTTGCATTTTACCGATTCTTTAAAACTATTTCCTAAAAGAAAAGAGGTTGCAAAATAATTACCTATGATCCAATATGTAAGTTGCAGACCTTCAGGAGGTCCTTTTACCTTCAGATAAGGTTTTACGTACTTTAATACATCACCTAAATACTCCAGACTCTTTGCTACCATGGCAGATTTCTCAGGGAGTGTCTGAAGGCCACTGTAAGTTCTACCAACAGCCTGAGAAAAAAAAAAACAACATTGAAATAAATATAAGTCTCATAACATTTGTGTAAGTAATCTCTTTTTGTACATATGAGATCTGATATATAGTTTCTTTTCACTAAAACTGTCTTATGAAGCTAACACAGAGATGTACAGTACCTTAATGAATTGGACAAGAGCATTTTTGGGGTCTTGCTTGAAAACTGACTCTTCCATATGAGCCTTTGAAAGAATGTTTTCTACTTCTGAGAGTTTAAAAATCAGTCTTGTCATTTCAGCCAGCTGCTCCATATAGGCTTTCCCTGATGGTTACAAGAGAGCACAGCAGTAAATATAGTATACAGTTAGGCTTTTTGATTTACTTTAGTCCCAAATGATACAATGAAATATGATTTTAAAATGTCTAAAATACAAGGATTCTGCAACCGACTGCATCTCTCTAGACAAAGAACTTGTGTCCAAACTAGTTATTTTTCTAATACAGTTATAAGAGAACGAAGAGTATTAAGTATGGATAACCAAGTTTTTTATTTCATTAATGGTTTTCTTCAAAATCTACAAAATGTGTATGAAAAATAGTCACTAGAAGATGTGTTCTATAAATAATTAGAACTGCAGTGTTTTATAGAAGAAGTGATGAAGCTCTGAGAAAGCAAAATATCCAATACAGAAAAGGGAAGAATTAATTGCAACTGGATTTTTTTTTCCTTTTTTATCTTTTTTTTTTTTTTTCTTTTAAGGCATTCACAGCATGATTTCTGACTATTTACTTCAGATTTTCACTTTTTTCAGAGCAGTTTCTCCATGGGGGAAAAATAGCTTGTCTCCTTGGGAGCAAGTTTTTGTTCTTTGCTTCCAAGGAAACAAGCTCTTTTATCTTTGTTTGTGATAAATTTGTCATATGCAGAGCAGGCAAACTATCAATAAATAGCACAAGCAGCCTAAAGAAACACATTTTGTAATTACGTAAAAGTAAAGGAATACAAACAAAAATACATTTTGTAATTAGCTGAAAATGTTTGCCAGCTTTGCAATATAGAATCGTTACTGCAAACATTAGGGAAATGTGAACACTTACCAACTGTTCGCTCAGCATCTGTCTTGGCCAGCGTACCACTTGGTTGATCTATGAACATTTGCAAGACGCATCGAAACCAAGAACGTACTGTCAAAGCTTCATAGGATGTATATCCCATACTAGAAAAAGCTTCACACAGTGCACTGCATAGGGGGAAGAGTAAGAAAAAGGTAAAGAGATTTTTTAAAAGTACGCAAAAAGGTGGCAGAGTGTCTCATTTGGCTGTAGACACACAGAAACAGCGCACAAAAGCAATTAGAAATAAAGTAACAGAAAGGCCAACTGGCATTCCTTTTGTGTACTGTACAGACTTTGCTCACAACATCCTGATGTCTAAATACAGAGAGCATGGTAAATTTGATGATGCCACACATAGTAATACAAAAGCATATATACACATATACAAATGTTTTTGCTATGTAAAACAAAACAGAGGGGGGGAAAAATTCACAGAATGGGAAATGTCTTACGCAAACAATGGGTAATTTGACAGTATTGTCTAAACTGACGATGTACGATGCTGGAAGTACTTTATCTGAATCACCTGGAACTTCATACTGACACTGCTTAAACTACTCCAGCCTTTCATACAAAGTTAGCTCAGGTGCCCCACGCTGCTCTGAAGTCTGCTTAGCTCTAACTCCATAAAAGTTGGAGAAGAGAAGGTCTGCTTTAGCAAATAAAGATACGTCATGTCAGAAACAGATCAAAAAGGCAAACATAAAAAGGCACCTTGGAGATGAGAAAGGAAACCGCTATACTTGACGTACACTTAGAGAGGTATGCATTTATGCATGTATACACACACAAGTATATACCTTCCCCCACACAGCAAGCTTGCTGTATATACTCTCAATCAAACACCCACTACTGTTCTACCAACCAGGTTCCAGGCCAGAGTCGATGGCACCACCACCACTCAGTGCACAATCCCTGTACTCTCCTGTGCACTATTCCCAAAGTTTTATGTGCCTTCCCACCCTGAGTAGCTGCTGTAATCACTTTTTCCCAAGGATCTCAGCCCCGCATCATTAATTATGCAGAAACCCCTTGCTAACAGAGAGCAGGGTCTGTTCTGCACCCTGTTTCCAGTTCTTATCAGATGAGTCCTGTGTGCCCTTCAGGTCAGTGAAATTTCTTGAAAATGGTTACACCTTTTCATTTGAGAGATTTCCTCCCTGGCCAGTCCTAGGTGCTTCAACTTTAATGAAAAATGCTTGTACTCTTTTCTTGATATATGTACATATAAATCTACTTACTTTCTACTGAATTTTTACTCATGCTTGCAACAGAAAGTCAACACAAGTCCAGATAGAAACCAAACTGGATTCTGTTTCTCACTAAACAGCATAATAAAGTTTTTTTTCCTATTTCATGTAGTTAAAACTAATGATGACTGTATATTTTGTCCAAACAGCCCTGCTGACGTACTATTGACAAAATAAATGAGACCAAATGCAAGCAATGTAAAAAAATATTTAAAAAATTAAATTCTAGTACCAAGAGAGAAAAAATTAGGATGCCTATGGACTTAATGCTCTGTGCAGTAACGTATAAACAATTCCAGCCTGATGTAATCTGGCTATACACAGCCAGTCTACTCGGCCCCAAAGGCACACAAAACCAGTCTCTGCTGTAGTCTCACTCCTGTTTCTCTTGCTGGCAGGTAGGCCACTGGGGCATCATCTTCCTAAAACTGGAAAGGAATATGCTCCTAATCTTTAAGAAAGGAAAGGATAGTCACTACCTGCTAGAAGCATGGCAAGCGGTCCTTTTAAACCAGTGAGCTTATACGCATGCAGGAAGTTAGTTTAAACAGGTTATAATACTATCAGCCACTACACAACAAGGATCTGGAGAGGAACTTTTGGGCACTACTGCAAAAGAAATGCCAAAGCTTGTGTGTATGTTCCCAAGGGCACAGCTTGTCCATCAGAACCTTTATTATCGATACTGAAATAGCTAATACGCAGAACAAGCTTCAATCTTAAAGAAACCAGGCAGAGCTTGCAGGGTATATAACAGCATCAGCAATAAAATAATCTTTTTACTTTTTAACTGAGAATGTTTGATGTGAAAATTATCAGCGCGCAGCAACTATGAAGTCTTAAGATCCCAGCACTTAGATACTTTGATAACTTTTGCTCCACAACTGCCTAAGGTAAATACGTACGTGAATCATGCTACAAATAATTGTCATCTTATTAGCATATAATAAAATGACAGTGTTCAGAGTACAATACCTCTGTATAATTCTCCTCAGAAAAGCTTTATCTTAGGTACTCTTTGTCCTTTCACAAGGAAATCTGAGCACCTGACAGCTCTGTTCACGAGGCAGGGACATATCTTCACCCAGTCTCAAGATACTTCAGTTTTTACTTTGTTGGCCTTGAGGCAACTGGTAGGGGAAACAGACAATTCTCTTTGAGGTCAGGCAATCGCAACCCCAAGAGCTTAGGGGCAAAAATATTTGCCTCCATGCGAGTGCTTTCTGTCCCATGCTTCCAGCAGGGTGAAAATTGAGAAAAGCAGAGACAGAGTGAAACATAGGAGAGAGAACCAGAGTGAGTGAGAATATATACACACACGTAAGCAAAAGACAAATATCCATCATCACCCAACTACACAGTCATGTTTTCTCCTGCCAGTTCTCCCAATATGGATCCAAAAACCTGGCATTTTCAGTCAGTCCACAGCACAACCTGCTAGAGGAGGGCAAGGTCCTCTCATTCCTTTATTTGGAAATAAAGGTTTGAAGTCCCTCTGAGTGCAAGACCTACTTAACTTGGGTCTTCCGAATCCTTGCACAAGTGCTCTAACCTCTCAACTAATGTACAGCAGGTAACTATCACCAATACTAACTGCATTTTTAGATGAAATTATGGCAGCAGGGCTGTATGGGGAACTCAGTACCAGCCAGGTGTGCACACTCTGCACTTGCTAATGCGATCGTGCCCCCAAACACTTGGGAACAGGAATGCTTTGGCCGTCATTCCAAATACAGTAAATGTTACCTCAGTCAGCATAGCAACATATCTGTGGATACATATATAACAATATGTCAGGTGCTTAATGAATATTGCTAATGAATACTTAAGTAACCGCTTTTAATCACTTAAATGTTTACTGGGAGAATTGGTAAATTAGCCTTAAGCACGTAAATTACACCAAAATTCCAGTTTAGGCATCAAAATGCTTTTCTTGATCTCACCTGAAGAGCAACAAAATACAAATTATAAATGGGTATTTATGTGCTTAACTCCTATTTATTCAGCACGTGCTAGGTATCTGCAACCTTGCATGAAACACCCTATGAAGATCATACAACAGAAATATGGCAAATCAGAGGACTCAACACTCCTCTCCCAAGTTCCAAACTGACACACAAGGAACTAAATTCAACCTCTTTTAACATCTCCTTGCAACAAGGCCACAGCCTGATCTTTGCCGATCACACTGAAACAGTCTTTATCATATCCTGACTTATAGCTATGCTCTTTAGTACAGTATGTACCCTAAAAACGTGCAACTTTTTTCACTTTCAAATACAGTCTGACATAGAAACACTCCTTTCTCCCTCATCTCTCACCTCCCCTGCCTCAAAAGCCTTCAGAAGCGGGGCAAGGGGGAAGAAAAACCATACCACAACCACCACCACCCACTCATCTTTGGTTCATAAAGGCCTACTTAAAGCAAATAAAATTTCTCAGGTATATAAAATTCTGACTGGACAAAGTCCTGGGCAATCTGCTTTAGCTGACCTTACTTGAGCAGAACCATTGGACAAGTTAGACTACCTAATCTCAAGAGTCCCTTCCAACCTAAACAATTCTGTGACAATTCAACACTGGCATGTAAAACATAGGAATGTGATAAATATTCTAAACCTATTATTTAATTTAAAGCACCCATTTAGCAGGTCTCAGAAACCTGAGCTACATGAACATTAATATGCACTCAGAAAGTATTCGAAGCTTGTTGAAAATAAAGTTGTAATGCATGCATTTCCTTACAGTCATTTTCGTTACACTTTTATTATTGCCCAACCCATCCTCCTCAGCTTCCTATAGAAGTTCTTCGTTTTGAAGACGTCAAGAAATTTAAACATTGAATACTTACTACATAGAATCTTCAGATTTCTGTGATAATGTTTACCTTGACTTTTTATAAGAAGATTTAAGCTTTTGTGTTAAGCGTAACTGGTAGGGGAAAATACCTCCAGTACTCTTAACTAGAAATTTTAAAATTTACATTGTTACATTATTCAGCTAAAAGTGCAGCTAGGGCAGGAAGCTACTGTCTTGCTGAACTGCAACTTTGCCCAAGTGTAACAACAATAGAAGGGGGTGGTTAACTATAACTATGCAAATTAAATACATGCTATGGGTTCAGGCATTTCACTTTGATGCAGTACGGCTCTTCATGGAAGTACCCCTCTGAAGATATTGCCTAGGTCTCCATCTTTCAAAATCTGTTACTAACAACACTGTTTCCACTGGGAAAAAAAAAAGTGTGGTTTGCTGTATAAAAGACAAATAACTTTTTCAAAATACTTACCTATCTTCCTGACAAATTTTGAGTAAGTTATTTACACATAAAAACAAACCAACCCAAGCCAAGTAACACCCACTATCCCCTCTGAAATGTCCCAGGTGATTTCAAGAAACCTAGAACTTTAGTAGATGCAAAGAATCTGGACCATCTTAATGAAACGTTACTTAGTTTGAAACAGCATTTTCCACAAGTCTAATGAAGGAATGACAAGGTACTGCAAGAACAAATAGTCACAATTTTTCACCTGTTTTGAATTAGGTGACTTAGATATCTTGACACCAGCTGAGGCCACACCATGTCATCCCATCCAAAGAGCTGCATCATTGATAGAACAGGCTGTGGCTGGAGATCTGATAGGGCTTTGCTGGGCATATCCAACGCTAAGAGAGTAAAACCTGATTTTAAAGAGAGAAAAACATGGCACCATGTTAATGGTTTCTCAGTACACCCCTGTTCGACTAAAAAGCATTGAAAATTAATTATGATTAATAATGTGCAGACTAGGAGTACCAGAAATCTTGATTAAAACTGGGCAACTATTCTAACAGATAGTGTTTGTACACATGTTAAAATGTAGTCTCTGTCCCAAGTAAGTCAACAGGACACACTGAATGGAAAGGAGGGAAAATGGATCCAAATACAAGCAATTTAAAAATATATTAACGGAAGCACAAGTTATAAATCCTTAAGGCATAGCTTTACCACCGATGCAATAAAAATCACATCTTAAAAACTCGTTTTTTTGTCTTCCTGGCCTCCCCTTCTTGCCTCCATCCACCACTTCTTCCCTCGTACACCTAAGCATTACTGTGCTTTACAGGGTTGAGTTTTATTTGTTTTGTTGTTTGTATACACTTCTCACAGTGAAGGGCTGTATCTGGAAAGAATTCACTCAGTAAAAGCTGGTATCTTTCTATTTTTAGAACAGACTTTCATGTATCAGAAGTTCCTGTGTAAATAAAGCACTACAGACAAGTTATTCTTGAAAAAAGGTTCTTCATGTTACAGTTGCAGATCTAGAAACTGGGACAGTACTTTGCACAGAGTTTTTGTTAGTGAAGCATAACCTTTTGCTATTTGTTAGATTTACTGTGGAATCTATATCTAACACTACCAGAATAAAAAATATGGTACATTCTTTATGTTGAAAATGACAAATACATTTAAACTCAGCAAGAAAGTGTAATCTGAAATGCTGAGCAGTTACCAGGTTATAGCAAATGAGAGGCATCAAATGAGTCAGGAAAACTGACTTTGGAGGGCAATGAAATAAAGGGGCTCAGTAGTTTCCAAATTCTCCAATTCAAGTTAAATATAAATGTAATTATGATTTCTAAAACTGAATGCATTGAGAAGCTGACTTTGAATTAGACAGAAAAGGCTCGTTTTCAGAAACAACAATTACAACAACAAATTACTCTAATTAATGGTATAGAGAGACAGACTACGTTAAGCTATGAAGGACTTCACACTTCTGTACGTGCCTCAGAATAAATAAGAAGGGAAACAACAGTTACAACAACAAATTACTCTAATTAACGGTATAGAGACAGACTACGTTAAGCTATGAAGGACTTCACATTTCTGTACGTGCCTCAGAATAAATAAGAAGGTCATACAGAGTCCCCACTGCCTTAGATGAGGAAGCAATTTGTGCCAGCCTTCTTCCATATGATCACATTGTTTCTACAGCCTCAGCCATAGCATGGGTGGGGAAGAAGTGGGAAGCCAGAGAAGCTAAGGTAAATCCCAGGCTGTTTGTCTGGCAGGGGGAGCAGGAGAGCTGCGAGAGCTGCTCTTCCCTCTGGGCTGCAACCTCTACGGCCAGAAGCTCACTCACACAGCGTGGGGAGGGTTTGCCTTCTTCTGTAGGGCTGCCTACCACATCGCTGTAAAGCAGGTCACAACTGCACTCCCCTGCTTCCAAGTGGAGTTTATAATAGGTTGTTCTTCTTGCTATTTCACTGTGTTAATATAAAATAAAAAGAGATGACACCATAGGAAATGAATGAAAGTTTTGACACTAACAACCTCTCCCTTTAATTTGTATCGCTGTTTCCCATACGTGCTGCAGCAGTGCGAGACCACTGCTGTTGCAGGCTGCCTCCTTCATTAACGTTACCTACTAACTACTGCGGGGCGGCTTCAAACGAAGGGTCTTTTAACTTTTCTGTCACTAACTCGGTGCTTCTGAGCTTGTAACTTCATCTAATTCATAGCACGATGGGAAAAAAAAAATTATTTCATGTTTCACTTCGCTACATTTTAGTTAAATGGATGTAAGATTTCATTGTAAGTACAGAATACAATGCTAGTTACTGATGTTAAAGATCAAACCAGGATTGCTTTCTATTCACTGCCATGCTGACTTGTTGCGTGCGGAGTTCATGTGGAATGCCGTACTTCGAGATTAAACCCCTTCAGTGTAAAGGCAGATAAATAATTAAAATGAATTATGAAATGGTTTTATTACCATAAGGGATCAGCAAAAAATAACAGTCACGTAACCAGCCTTTTGAAAATACTTTTCAAATGTAAAGTATGATTTTAAAAAAATTAATTTGAATCACAACCATAATGAAAAGTTCAATGCAAAATTATAATAAACTTCTACAAAAAGATGTAAGTTCTAGATATGGTGAAAGAAGTCATTCTCATTTATACTGTACAATATTTGCAGCGTCGATTGTAACTGGTGACTAGTAGGGAAAAAGAAGTCAGGCTCGTGTAGCTTCAGACCCCTTCGGGGTTCTCAATCTGTTTGTATTCCACCAAATAATTCAACACTACAACATTTCTTCTTGTCAAAAAATGTAGCATAGAATCTACGTTTTTGCATTTATGCATATTTAAGTTACGACACCGAAGCAGAAACATCCCCCAAAACAGAACACCCTTGAAAGTTTGCGACCCAGAAAACAGCACCAAACGCAGTTAAGGGGCAGGGCAGGCCCAAGCTCACCTGCAGCTGTATCAGCAAGCTGTGGGGAAGGGGGCACGGGGGACA